ACTTGAGTAAACTGGTTAATTCTGAATTTTATTTCTAAATTATACATGGGATAGTAACTATAATGTAATGACAGCCAACCAATCTGAGTGCACTTCTTCCCCATAATGAATCTTCTGATACCAAAACTTCATTCTAGATGGATTTTTGCCCTTAAAAAGAATAGCACTGAATGATGTCAGTGATACCTCTGATTTATACCATGATAGATGGTAGTAAAAACCATTGAAGGGAAGGAATCTAGTTTTGATGGAGTAGTTACTATATGTCAGGAACTTTATACTTTTTATTGCTTTTTCCTATAATTCTGAAAATTAGTATCCTTATCTCCATTTTCCTGTTGAAAATACTTTTTTTTTAAGATTTTAAAAATTTATTTATTCATGAGACACACACACACACACACAGAGGCAGAGACACAGGCAGAGGGAGGAGCAGGCTCCATGGAGGGAGCCCGACGTGGGACTCGATGCCGTGTCTCCAGGATCAGGCCCTGGGTTGAAGGCGGCGCTAAACTGCTGAGCCACCTGGGCTGCCCTGAAAATACTTTTACTATGAATTTCCAATCCCGTGTTCTCTCTATTGCACCATGCTGTCTCATCCTTTCCACTGGAAACTTACTATTGTGGTTTGGCCACCTTAATACTCTGCTCTTTTTTTTTTTTTTTTTTCCTATAGCAATTAAACACAGGTTGGGAACATTCTGATTCTGATAGAATTGAACTCTTTTGAACCAAGAAATTTACTGATAATAATTCAAGGGGGCAAAGCATTTTTTGTTATCTTTTGTTCCTGGTACTGAGGTCTTGGAACTGTTGCTCAGATAATCAGTCAATGGTACCAGACTCATCATTTGTAATAATACAAAGGGGAAAAATTACAGCCAAGAAATCCATTCCGTTGATTATCCATATGTGTTCTAAAAGAGATGGTTAAAGTCTCTGCCCATTTATCCTGTATGATATTTTCAAACAGATTCCAAAACTGCCAAGACACTCACAGTGTGAAATATCCTGTGCCAAATAGTTATGGCATCTTCATGCCAATAATTGAGACAAAAAAAATTCTTATAGAATGAAACTAACAGCAAAAATAGCAACCTTCCCCTTGTGGGAAGCCAATAGTTTTCTTTAGAGAGGAAACAACAGATGAAATATGAGTAATTATGCCATGTAGTCTCTTTGGCCAAGAGTATAATTGTTTACCTAAGCTTTTTCTGTATAGATTAGAATCTTGTGTTGCAGTCTAGTAGATTGATTTAACTGCCTCTGTGACTTCCTCTTATTTTTAAGATTAGGCAGTCCATGACAAAGAGGTTAATTGCAACCCAATAGAGCTAAACTAATGTTTTATTAAGAAGGAGTTGGCATCCTGAGCTTTTAGGAGAACAAATGTTCTCATAATTCCATGAACAACTCATAGAGCAAGTATTAGGCTCTTCATATTCAGCTGTCTGTTCACATTACTCCATATCGATCACATCTAAGTAACATTAGCAAACTGTGCTGAATAATCAGTTATACCAGTTAGATCTCTGTAAAGGTGAGATCAGTAAATGTATCGCTGGGGAAAGGTAAAACTGCTGATGTGTCTTTTTCTCTGACCTAGACAGTATGGCTGCTCAACTTTTTCAAAGTTTGACTGTATAGTGGGGGTTGATGACAGATCAAATGAAGTAATTTAGTTAATAACAGGCAAAATTCAGATGTGTCCAAGGGCACAAAAGGATCATGGGTCTAGAGATAGAGGGGACAGCAGGGAAATTAAAGGCAATCATGTTTCTAATGGCTTCTGTTTATTCAATAACATGTGACAAGGTAATCTGAGAGTGAGGAGAAAGGAGTGGTTGTAGAGGTCTTGAAAAAATGCTAACTGTTTAAAATTGAGGATTATAAGAAGGCCCTAACCCTAGCCATTATCCTAGGAAATGAGAGAATGCATACCATTTGATGATTTGTATTCTGTGTGTCAATGAATTTATTCCTTCAATATCTTGTTTAATTTTTTTCAAAATATTTTCTGGATAAACTTTATTGTACTCTGGTAATAAAAATGGGATTCTTCTTAAATCCAATGCTCAGCTGTACTAAGATCTGTAGAGTCACTTGTTTTAGAAAAATGAAGCTTCGATAAGTATAACATTGCTTTCTAAGTTTCTAGAAATATTCAATCCAATTATAATATCCAGTTAAAGTACAAAAGAGAAATCACAGGAAATATTTCAATGTATATGTTGCCACCATTGTTACTGTGGTCTTAAGAAAGATACTCTTACCACTTTTACCCAACAAAGCAAAACCAAATGAAACACAATGATAATAAAACAAAATGGGGCTTATTTTAAATCTGATTTTTAAAGTAACAAATAAGTCTTAATGAATGAATGAATGGCCTGTTTTAGGCCAGGCCCTGATCAATTGTTAAATATGGAGAGATTACTAATAGTTTAGTGAGAATGACTGACATGTTAATCAACTGCAGTAGTGTTGCTAACACCATATAAGGTATATAGGCTATAGTGTGCCAGGATAGGGGAGGGTACCTCTCTTATGAGTGGATAAAAGAGGCTTCCAGAAGGAGATAATACTTAAGGTGAGTCTGGAGGTGCCAGTGTTAGCCAGACAGGTGGGGATAGGGGGAACATTTCAGGCAGGCAGAATGATTATAATACATGAAAGCCTGGAAGCACTGAATATCATGAGGTGTACAGAGAATTCCTAGTAGACTTAATTTTAGGTTTGAATTTATTCCTTTTTAAATTTGTTACTAATTTTAGTAGGGCTGGAATATACAGAGTATATATGAAGAATTAGAAGGAGATGAATCCAGAGCAGATCTTTGGGATCAGAAACTAAATGACCTATATGCCAAGGATATGCAGTGTTATTCTGAAGACCTCCAGGGATCTCTTAAAGAGTTTGAAATAGAGGAAGGACATGACCCAGTGTATGCTTTAGAAAACACATTGGCAACAATGTAGAGAGTTGCTCAGGGAATATATGGTCAGAGGGCAGATAGAGAGTATAGTCTTTAAGATGCTGCCACCTAACTTGGGTGGAAGATGATATATCGTCTGACATATAGGGATGGAGAGAAGAGAGTCAACTTGATATTTATTAAGAGGTTATAGTCTATAAGGCTTGGAAGTGATTGGATATGTGGATGTGGAGATAATAGTGAAGGAGGATGGCAAATTTCAAGTTTCTGATTTGGGCAACTGGAAATATCATGGGCCCATTCAACCAAGTCCAGGAATACATGAAAGATGCAGAGTTGGAGATAGAGAAGATAATGAGATCAATTTTGGATATGTTGAGTATCAGATGCCTGTATAATATCTTAGTGAGAAGTGGCTAATGGCTGATTAGATACTATATAGATCGAGTGCTCAGAAGAAGAGTCTAGATTGGTGATACAGATTGCATGTTGGTTTTTTACACTGATGTTAAGTTCTTAGAGATCTGGTGGCATATCTGTTTCTTTTTCTTTTTCTTTTTCTTTCTTTTTTTTTTTGTGCACATTACACAGAGTTAGCCTTAGGGTTATATACAATTCCCAAAGCCTAACATTTAAAAAAAATTCTAGTTACTAGAATAAAGTCCATTAATAAAGAATTAAGGACCTTCTATCCATTGATGCCAGTTTACTTATTTTCTAATCCACCTGTTGGATACCATAGAGGGACCTGAACTGGTAGGGAAATATAAAGCTTGATTGAAGTCAGAATTAGCCTGAAAAATGGTAGTGAAGTATGATGTCATGTATCTAGTATAGTTTGAAAGACATTTGACTGGTGTCTTCCCGGGAATTCGTACTTCATCTTTTGTCACATTGTCTGAATTTCATCATTGCCATTATATCTTTCTTCAGGACTATTAGGAGTTTTCTTTGTTAAGGGGTTATTTGGCAAATAACCTAGTGGGGGGCAATATTGTAGAAGTTATCAAATGGTCTTTATGGAATCTTTAATAAAAGCTTTTGGGATATCTAGAGAAAGGATAATTGAGACAGAACCAGAGTATGGTTAGTTTTGCTGTCCTTACACCTCCTTGACATTTCCTTGAAATGAATTATTTTAATAACAGAAATTTGAGTCTTCAGAAGAAATTTCTTTCTTATTAAATTCACATCCCTTTCCCCTAGAAGTTAAAATTACTACTCCTTCAGAAAACCATATAAGGGATTCTAGATATTTAAGGAACGATCTTTAGTTATCATTGTAGTTTTTAAAAGAGAGAGATAACATTTTACTATGTAACAAGAAAGATGGAAGTGTGATATGAACCATAATATGTAAGATTTGTTGAAATTGGGCTTCATTTTTTTATGTGTGTATATATCTGCACATAATGTTTTTATTAGGCTATAATAAATACCCCCATTCCCCAACTTTCTGTGGCTTAACATAACAGAAGCATATTTCTTGTTCACATTACAGTCCAAGGAAGGTGATCCTTGGCATATGGCAGTCTTCCATGCACTGATTCAGTGCTTTACCATTCCCTGGGGTCTTGTTGTTGCTTACATACAGCTGTTAGGAAGAAAGAAAAGTGTGGAGAAATCTCACTTGGTTCTTAAGTTGCAGCATGTGTAGGAGTGATACACATCATTTCTGCTTTCATTCCATTGATGAGAACTAGGGACATGGACACAGCTCAGTGCAAAGAATGCTGGGAAGTGTATTCCTGGCTGGGCAGCTGTTTTCCAGTAACAAATCTATATAATGCAAGGGGGAGCACAGAAGTTGTGGACAGCTATACCTTGGCTACTGGGACTATGTAATGGATATGAACAAAACACAAAGGTCACATATAAAATTAGTCATTATTTTATAGCTACACTTGAAATGTGATAATGTCTATGCAGAAATAAAATGCTTTAGAATGACACTATTAGTTCTAGATATTATGCTATTTCTGAGATCCTTTGACTATTAGCAAGAATGTTGGGTTCCTTATTTATTATATGTGAAAACCTGAGACTTTCTTTCCTTACTTTTAAGGTTGGACAAAATTTGCCCGATTGACGCGGGCCTTGACAAATAGCCGAAGTGTTTTGCAGCAGCTTACGCCAATGAATAAAACAGAGGTGGTCCACAAACATTCAAGATTAGCTGAAGTAAGTGGGAGCCTAACTTTCCTTCCCAAGACGGTGGTGGTTTTCCTTTTTTTTCCCCCAAATGATTCAATTTAGGTATTTCTGGTTATTATTTTACAAGTGCTTATCTTCTAATTATTTTTCCTTTATGGAATTATAGAAATTTCAAATATTTTTTTTTATTTTCTCATATTTTTGAAATGAGAAACTAGTTCATGACATCCCAGGTGATATTTGTAGAGGGGGAGGTTTTCTTTGAGTACATGAGATAGGAAGTTCACTCATTTCATCTGTTTATGTATGTGGCACCCTCTCATTGAGAGTTTTCTCTTTGCTTGTTACTCTACAGAGGATGTAAAGATCAATAAGCAATGGGCTCTGTCATCAAGGAACCAAAGATCAGGCAGGAGAAACTGACAATAGGATGCGATAAAAAGAATGTTAAAGTGCAGTGGGAATACATGCAAGAGTATTTACCTAGACTTGGGGCTCTAGGAAGCCTTACCTGAGTGAGATGATACTGGGCTGAGTGAGTTCTGAAGGAGAATCCGGTAAAGAAGGGATGCAGGTCATTCCTATCAGGGAGACCAGCATGTGCAAAGGCTCAAAGATGAAATAGTATGATGACTTTGAGTATGAGTTCTGTGTGGGTGAAGTCAGGCGAAGGAAAGGTTAAAGTCATGTAGAGTGAGACATTGGTGGTTGGTGTCTCATGTACCAGGGAAATGATATGATCACATTTGTGCTTCAGGGAAACCTCTCAAAGGGAGGTTGGTCCCTATGAATCTTTGCTTTGCCATGTTTTCTTTGTATTAATTTAAAAACATGATTCTAAGAGGTCCATAGATTTCACCAGATTACCAAAAGGATCCATGGTACAAAAATGTTGAAAAACTTAGTGGCTCTATGTTGAATGGGTAGTTAGGGAAACTAGTTAAGAGGACCTAAGTAGTAAATCAGCTAGGTCGACCATGGGTTTGAGCAAGGAAATCAGAAGTGGAAGAGGGCAGATAGCAGACACTCCAAGATTACAGTCCACAAATTTGTTGATAGATAAGAATTGGAAAAAAAAAAACTGAATGTGAAAACGAGGATGAGTCAAGGACAACTGGATAGAGAGTACTCTTGTCTAACAGAATGGCAAATATAAGAGGAGGAAGAGAAGGTTTGGGGGCAACAGTAATGACTTCAGTTTGGAGCATATTTAGTTTGAACTGCCTGACAGGAAATCTGAGTGGAGATGCCTCAAAGGCAGAGGGATTTATGGGTCTGATTCTGGAGGGGTATCTGGATCTGAATTGCAGGACTTCTTGCCATAGGACGAGATGATGTTACTCAGAGAAAGTATATTGAGACCAGAGAGAAAAGGAATTGGACAGAACTCCAGGGCAGCTAGAAGTTTTGTTGTTCAAATGTCTTCTGTGATCATCATTTGTCTTTCTGGTGTGAATGATTGTTAGAAGCTAATTAAGCTACCAAAGCTCTGCCAAGCACTTAGTGGGTGCTCACAAAATGTTCCGAAGTAGCTTACCAAAGACAGGATAGATGAAATTAAATATATATGTTCGTTGGTTTGCTCTGCTGGAGAAAAGTGAAGTGAAGAGCTCCAGAGTAACTTTCTGAACTCGTTAAAGATATTAAATTTGGTTTGGAGAGGCTTAGGCAGTGAAGTATGTTCCTTGAATTTGGAGGGCTCTGGAAGAATTTTTCTGGGACTGTAGCTAACATTGGGACTTAGAAGGCTTTCTGCTCTAAATAGCACTGTTAGCTTGGGGAGAGATTGATACTTTGATGTGTAAACATGTTTTTAAAAGCCCAGGTAAGACATTAACATAATTAAATATTAACTAATAATAATAATCACAGTATTTAAAAAGACAGTATGCAATTAGCACAAGATTTAAAGCAGACTATTAGATACAACTTCCTTTGCTGGTAATGCTTGTTATAAAGTACTATTTGATTTTAATGCTTTCTTTTCTGCCTTGAGTTGTCCCCCTTTTTCTACAAATCAAGCTGAAGTGAAGGGGCTTGTTTCTATGACTGCTGACTTTCATAGTCATGATTCCTTCTAGGTCTTAACAATATACTTTATTCAGAGTTTCTTTCTCTGTTGTACAACTGGGCAAGAACAAGAGGAAAGGGGCATAGAGAGGAAAGTTTTTTACCTTAGCACACTAAAACACTCATTTATTTTTTCTTCTGCATCAAGTGGGAAGTTCATGATTTTTTACTTTTATTTTTGAGGAAATTTCATCCCTGTTTCTTCCCATCTGATTTTATTTTATTTTTGCATTGCTTTTTGATTATTGTTAGTTTCTTTATTGGTCACCCCTAATTCACAAACTTGACTCAGATCCAAAACTTTTCTGTCAGGTCAGAGGCTTGATTTCAGAGAACATGAAGAAATCATGAGATTCTCAAAAGAGATTTTTCTCTGCATGTGCTCTCAGCCCAAAGGTTGACCCAAAAGAAGCAATAAATTAGCAAAAGGATACCATTTCAAAACTTTTACTCAGGGTCATGTAATTTATTCAACCTATTTGATTTGCTGTTGAACTTCAGGTTTTCACTTTTTCCAAGACATATAAATTTGATCACAATGCCACCAGGACACCTACATTTGGAGCTAGTTCACAGTTTCAAAGATCTGGGTCTCCATGTAGGCAGTTCATGTCCAAATGAACTGACATCCTGCTGACTGGCTTTAGTTTCTCACTTTTGTAGGGATGGAGATAAATGTCTGTACCATTGCCATGTCTCTGGTCCTCATTCTATTAGTGTCCATGCTCTCAGATATTCAGAGAGAAAGAATGTGTTTGTATTGGTGCAAAAATACATCAGAAAATGTGTTTTTATCCCCCTCCACCTAGGCTCATTACATCTGAAAGTACAAGTGGAATAGCATCAAAAGTGAAGTATTGTTAGTCACTGCTTTATGAAAGTGCCCCAGTGTCAGAGTGAAGATTAAAGTAGTGCTCTGCATATGAGAGAGAACAAAGTGTGAGCACGAGTCTCCCTTGGTGGTTGTTGCCCTGCTCCTCCTCTCTCTGCCTGTTTCTCCTTCTCCTCCTCCTGTAGCATTTCTGGATCCTTTTACATATGCAGGTCACAGTCTGAAGAACTGGGCCCTGAATGTCTAAGGAGATATCAGATAAGAGTTTTACCTTGGACGGTACATTATTCAGGAAAGGTTTTGAAATATATAGGCTGCCTGAGAACCCACACAAGATGAATTTAATTATTTTCAGTAGGGACGGGAGGGCATTTCTAGTTTAAAATAATTCTCCAGATGATTCTAGTTTATAGCCAGATTTAAGGAATACTAACCTCAGGAATGATCCCATTGCATCTCTAGAGAAGACATCTTACATTCTACCAGAGTGCTGAGCAGGGTTGGCTGGTCTATAAGCACAGTGTGTGGGGCCACAGCATTTTTCGGGGTCCATGGGTGTTTGAATTTCTATTAGCAGTAGAAGGAAACATCGACCTTTTAGGTAAAAAATTGAATATATAATATTAATTTATTCTTCTTTGTAACAATGCAGTTCTAAAATGAGAATTTTATTTTTTTATGGAGAAAGGGATCCAGGAAGGCAAAAACACCTCGGGCCCATGAAGGTTGCAATGCACCCTGGCACTGAGTTTATTTTCTAAGTCTGGTTTCTTTGTGCTTCAGCTATAGGCTGTGTAAATATGGATGGTAAAATATTAACATTGACTCTGAAGAAAATTTTCATGTTTAATACAGTGAAATTGGAGTGAATAGACTAATGGCTATAAAGCGAAAGAGAAGCCATGATTATGTATGATTCTGTATACATAAAGCTCTATCCCAACATGAAGCTTACATTCCTGGTAGGAAAGTTTGTTGCTTAGTAATTTAAGACCTTATGGGAAAAATAATGTCTGGGGCACTGATAATGAGGATAACTATGTAAAAATCTTTATAAGTAGTTCTTATAACCCCCAAACTAACAAGAGTTATAATACACAACTATTGAGAATACTAGTGATGTTTTTCACATTTCAAATATTAATAATGGGTCTTATATACTTAGTTTTCAGTTATGCAAGTTCTATGCATGAGAGAAACTTTTCAGGATAATTCTCAAGTTCAAGAAGTGCTATAAATTCATTTTGCTTCATGGCATATGAGTTATGTGCTAATAGGTATTTTTGCTTATGTCTATTCTTATATTCAAATTTTTAATGCATTTATAACCTTATGATAACGTTTTGACTCCTATTTTCTGGATCCCTTTAGTCCTAGAGACGCTGAACAATTGGATATATAAAAAGGCATTTGTCCAGTGCTGCCCAGGCCTCTACTCTTGCCCTGCCATTTGCTTTATTTATCTCTTTAGTTAGACCTGCTTAGAGTAAGTCAAGGTTCATATAGTGCTGCAGTGAAATTTTTTCATTTGTCAAAAAGGTATGGAGAAGAAAACCTGAGTATTTAGAATTTTTTTTTCCAAAGTGAATATGCTTCTGGACTGGAAACATGATTCTTTAAGTCCTGATTGAAGGGAGAAAAGGAAAAAGCAGGCTATAACATTTACAACCATGGTATCACTATGCCACTCATTAGAGTCCTTGCTGAGTCCCCCTCAACAGCAAGATCACCAACAGTGTGGTCCTGGGCTTCAGCAAGGCCATCAGCATCAAAGTTATGCTCCCTGAGGTGCTAATATGTGTCAAGAATGGATAACAGTGAGTCACCCAAATAAGTGTTGGACAACCAATTAAAGATGTGTGATTTTGGGCAGGCTTGCAAGTAAGTGTACATAAAGCAGTCCCAGAAGTGGATGTCCAGCAGTGCTGTGGATCAGTGTTGGTGTTGGAGGAAGTCACTGAGAGAATGTGACTGCTGGCTGACCCTTGAACTGGACCCAGGCAATCAGAGGCTCCTCATTCTGGTCCTTGGAATGTATACTCTGCCAGCTGTCCCCACAGGGGGAGCCATTTTCAAGGACATAGCCATGAAAGAATAGGATGTTGTTGAGACCATTTGGATTACATATGTGACTGGATCCAGTTAGGGTGTCCACTAAACTTTTTAAGATTCTGGTGGGTGGGCGCAGAGATCTACACATTTTGCAGTTTTCTGTGATAAGCCTTGTAAGTATGTTCCCTTTTTTTAAACCTGCCACATAATGATCTGGAGTGGTCGTCTTTTTCTTTGTTCTCTCCTTGCCCTTGCTATTTGGGAGCCAGTTTGTGAAACAACAGTTGGCCGCTGGAGAGAAAGCCAGGTAGAACAGCAGACAGATTAACTTCCTTTGCACAAACTTTGGTACAACTCTGAAAAGGGAGACAAAACTATAGGGTATAACTGGTCTTGAAACCAGGAGTCATGAAAAATATGCTGTGGTTTGACTTCCACTAAGTTTGAATACATTACTAACTGTACAGAGATGCCCAAGTCATTTATATACACATTGTCTCTCTTTTAGGTTCTTCAGCTGGGATCAGATATTCTTCCTCAGTATAAGCAAGAAGCGCCAAAGACGCCACCACACATTATTTTACACTATTGTGCTTTTAAAACTACTTGGGACTGGGTGATTTTAATTCTTACCTTCTACACCGCCATTATGGTTCCTTATAATGTTTCCTTCAAAACAAAGCAGAACAACATAGCCTGGCTGGTGCTGGACAGTGTGGTGGACGTTATTTTTCTGGTTGACATTGTTTTAAATTTTCACACGACCTTTGTGGGACCTGGTGGAGAGGTCATTTCTGACCCCAAGCTGATAAGGATGAACTATCTGAAAACTTGGTTTGTGATCGATCTGTTGTCTTGTTTACCTTATGACATCATCAATGCCTTTGAAAATGTGGATGAGGTAAGTTTCTTTTTTTTTCTGAGTACTGTGGATCATATGTTTTGAGAAAATTAAGATAAAAGGAGTTTGCTGATAATTCAGACTTCTTTTTAGCCACCACTTTCAGCCTTCACCTTACTTGCCATAAATTATAATATCCTGTTACTTTAAATTAATTTTCATCTGCTTCTTTTTTCTTGATTTCTGGTTGATAATAGTAACCACTAGGACAGTGGTTGTGATTCAAAGTTGTGGCTTGAAGAAGTGGAGGTTGCAGTGGGAGGAGGTGGAACAGAAGAAAAGCAGCAGCATGTGGCGGTCAAATACAGTTTATAAACTAGGTAATTGATTAAAAGAGATGAAATAGATGTATTTTCTTTGGAAAGTGGTAGCATTCTATGCATCCATAGATCTTTTGACTCCTCTCTAGATATATATGGTACCAGTGCTTTAATTAACCTAAAAAAATATTTTATGGAAAATCCTCAAATTTTTGCCTTTTTGGTTTCTTCTTTATAGCCTTTATTTTAAATTTTGTTTAAGTACATTTGTGGTTAGAGACTATATTGGATGACTTCCGATGTCTGGTCTAGTTCAAGGTTCTGTTCATTCATTATTACCTGCAAAAGTAGGAATAATTAAAATGTGGGGACAGGACACCTGAGTGGCTCAGTTGACTGGGTGGACAACTCTTGGTTTTGGCTCAGGTTATGATCTCAGGGTCCTGACATTGAGCTCTGCATTGGGCTCTGCACTCAGTGAGGAGTCAGCTGGAGGAGTTTCTCTCCCTCTGCTCCTCCCCAAGCTTGCACACGTGTGTACGTGTGCACGTGTGCACACACACACACATTCTCTCAAATAAATAAATCTTTAAAAAATACTAAAAATGTGTATTATCTTAAAAAATCACTTCATCCAGAGCTTCCTAGCTTTTAACTTAATAGTGGATGATTTTCAACTTGCTATAACAGGCTAATAGGATGAAACCAATAATCTCAACTAATAATATAAAAATGAATCAATATAGAATGCATCTATTATTAAAATGTGTTCATAATGATAATATTACAAACTTAATTTCCCTAAAGATTCTACTCTGTCCTTGTAAACTGCTCAGATGGAAAATTCTCCACTACATTGTTTTTGTTATTCTATGTATATTAAGAGGTAGATAGAAACTATGCAGGGACTATTTCCCATAAAATTTCTATACTTAATTAGCTTTAATAATATTAAAAACTATTGCCCTGAAAGTTAAGTGTAGATATTGTGTTTTGATGCTGTACATATTACTTTAAAAATTACAGAAAAAGGAGGAATTATAATAAATTGTTTCCTAATTTTAGATTCCATTTACACAAGCTTTCAAAGGTACATTTATTTCTTTCCTATTTACCGTCTGAAAAGGGTTGATAATTAATTTTGAAAACATGAAAGAAGTAAGGAAATTATAAGCAGTGTTTATATTTCACTTACTATATGAAATGATATATTAAGATGGATATATTAAGATTTCAGTTATTTAGAACATAGGCATAAAGATTTTAATAATAATAATAAAAAGATTGGCTCACCTCATAGAAAATATATTAAAATGTTACAAAATAATAAATACATTTAACATAATATGTAAATATATCAAGAGATCCTCAGCCTCATGCATATTAAGTAAAATGCAAAGTAAAACTACAGACTGCACTGATGCGATTCCAATATTCCATTTCACTTATCACAGTGTTATAATCAAAACTTTAGCACTCTAGCTTGGTGAGTAAGATTCTGGTGGGTGGACACGGAGATCCTAAGAAGGTGCACTGCTTAGATCTTCCTTCATGAAAACCTGCTGTCTGGAGCACAATTCATAGCTTCCGGGAACTGGCTCTTAGTTTGGGAAAGCCAGTTGTTAGCATCTTTTTCAAACTCAGCATTCATTCAGTGAGTCATCACACTGTCACACTAGTAGCTCGAAACTGGCCATAGTGGGAGTATTTACACTCAGCAAGCCAAAGATGCTATAAATAAAAGCTTTTTTTTTTTAAGGTTTTTTTTTTGATTGACAGATGCTGCATTTTCTGATCTGCCGCAGTTCATACACTGAAACCATACTTCCCCAATGCTACTTTTAGCCAATAATTAAGAATGATGGTAGTATTATAATTCATATAGTTCATTGCAGAACTCCTCTATTAAGCAACTTTTGCTCTGGGACTCCCTATTTACCTGTCCTGTGGTCTGAGGCTGTTCTACCCAATACCTCTTCACAAGTGTCAGACCTGAATTTTGGTCTGAAGGCATCTCTCTCTTCTGTTTATCTTTCCCAGATCTTTATCTCGGTAAAAATCCTTGCATGTCTAACCCTGACTCGGCAGCACTCTGTAGAGGACCTGAACTGATAAAGTGATGGTACAGACACTCTCATACATTGCTCAAGGGAGTATTAAGTGGGTAAAATGTCTATGAAGAATGATTGACAATATCTCATTTTGGAAAAAAAAAACACCCTAGAGACAACCACTTTCAAATTGCTAGGGGATTCTTTTATTATTTGCTTCCATGTCAGGAAACAAGGTAGGTATGTACCTACCCCTTGGTTTTACAGTTTTAGGCCTTGTCTTTGACTTCTCAATATGGCATTTGAGATTGTAGCCCTTACTATGTCCATGCAGTTTTTCCATCACCTCATTCTCACACAATACAGGTATATCATCCTTTTCATTCAATAAATATTAGGTGTTTACATCACTATGACTACAAATATGCTATTTATGATGGAACCTTAAATATGACATAATTGTTTTTCTGCACTTTCTACTTTCCTGAGAGCTGATAGACATATGGATTTATAGTTGCTTAGTTTTTTTTACTTATCACTAATTCAAACACTAAGCTCTATGCTGATTATCTAAATCTTCTCTCATTACATTGATATGAACAATATCCTATCAACATCATTTTCTTAAGCAAATCTCTTTTTACTCCCCCCCCCCCACAAGATTGATTGTTTGGCTAGCTATAATATTCCAGGCTAGAGATACTTTCTTCTCAAATTTTGAAAGACCTAATGCCATTGCAGTCTATCTTTTAATAGCTCTGTTCTCTCTCTCTCTCTCTCTTTTTTAAGATTTTATTTATTTATTCATGAGAGACACTGAGAGGGAGACAGAGACACAGGCAGAGGGAGAAGCAGGCTTCATGCAGGGAGCCTGATGTGGGACTCGATCCCAGGACTCTGGGATCATGCCCTGAGCCTGAGGCAGATGCTTAACTGCTGAGCCACCCCGGCGTCCCCTCATAACTCTGTTAAGAATTTTGTAGCCAAATAAATAAAAAATTTAAAAAAGAATTTTGTAGCCATTAGGATTTCTGACCATTTACATGTGATCTTTCTCTCTTTGGAAGTTTGGTATATTCTGTCTGTTCCAGGGTTCTGAAACTTTCTGATGATATGCCTTAGTGTGCGTCCGTTTTCCTCAGTTTGGCTGGGCACTGATGGTGGCCCTTTTCAATCTGGAAAAACATGTCTTATGTCTGATTTTTTTTTCCTATGATGATTGTCTCCACCCTTCTCTCTCACTTTTTTCTTGCTGGAGCTCCTTTTATTCGGATATTGTACCTATTGGACTAGTCCTCTAGTTTTCCTTTTTTCTTCTCTCCTATTTTCCAACACTAATTCTATTTTTGCTATACCATCTGGGAGCTTTCTTTAACATTATTTTCTCACTTTCTTTGTCCCTAATGATGGTTTTTGCTTAAGGTCTATTTGGCTTGATACTAGGAGAGCTAAGTTAGCTTTCATATAGTATTTGGTATATATATTTCTATATTTTAAATTTTATTATTACAGATTATTATACTCTAGCTGTATCTTCTATAGATACTATATAGATTCTGAGTCTTACAAACTTAATCTATAAGTTTACTTACTGAGATTAATTGCATTTGCATTTTGATTTATTTAGAGCATATTGTTTCTGCTTTAAAATGATTTTTTTCTTTTCTCTATGTTTTTATTTCCTTTTTCTTTTTCTTCTCCCATCTTTTGTATTGATTTTTTTTTCTTTAATCTACTGGATTCCCTCCACTAGTTTGGAAGTTTTTCTGTTAATTGATTACTCTTAACATTTTTAGTATCAGTATGTGGCTTATTAGTGTCTTTACCCTTCTCCTAACTAATTCAAGGACTTCATCTTCTCATCTTTCAAATTATTATTGTCTTGTGTTTTGCTTCTACATTGTTTTTAACTTTCTCTTTTAATTATTATATTGTTGTCTTATTTAGTTTCAATACTTATTTATATATATCCACATGTCTACCAGTTTCTTTGCTCGCATTATTTTATGTTTGTTTTTTTTTTTTTAACTTTCTTCTGGTTCTGTGGGTTGGTTCTGTGTTATCTGTTATATGACATCCAACTTTGTGGAACATACTTCTTCAAGGAAATCTTCCTACATTATGTTAAAAAACAAAATTCAACTGAGTAAATTTTAAAGATCATACTGACTTCATTCAATGATTCATGAATTGGGCAGTATCCCATCTAATGAATAGAAAGCTCTGAGGAGCTGTGCAAAATAGAAGACGTTTATAGGCAGAAGGGGGCAAGACAAGGACATTATTAGTAGAGTGCGTTATTTCAAGTAAGATTACCTTCCTTTAGGAGAAGGCAGAGGATCTGTCGGGCAGGTTACTTCACAGGTCGCTGACCAGGTAATTGTATTCTTGGGAGAGGCTGAAACTGCAATTAAGTTGGTGTTAAGTCTTGGTTTAGTGACATGGGCTTAGTACAGGCGATTCCATTTTGGGTCTGTTGTGTTTTTAAAAACAATTATTTCCAAGCAACTGTAATGGATATCTTCATCATATTTCATCTTCATTTAGATATACTAGTGCACATTAACATAATTAAAGTTATTTTTCTTTTGTTGTTTTGTGTATGTAATCATGAGCACTATATCATTTATTGTGTGGTCTGGGGTCTTGTGCCTTCCCTAGGACATATTTGTTGTGAGCCTTGGGGATG